GGTCCTGTATCTCAGCCAAGAACCTCCTGGAATGGTCCGACCTGGCTGACAGTTCCTCCCAGCAGATGTCTGGGTAATTGAAGTCACCCATGACAACTACATCCCTTGCCTTAAGTGCTTCTGCAAGCTGGCCCAAAAATTCCCAGTCCAGCTCCTCCCCTTGGTTGGGGGGTCTGTAATAGACCCCACTGTTAAATCCCTCTCCCCACGGCCCCCTTGTATCTTGACCCAGAGCACTTTAGCTTGCCCCTCCTCTGACCCCATTCTGCTGGCAGAGGATATGTATTGCTCCTTGACATAGAGCACCACAAGAGTGTTCCACATATAGGGCATGTCTATATGTTGCCATACAGCAATGTTAGTATGGTGCCATGGTTTAGTACTTCCAGAAAGTTAGATTTTGCCGCTACATCACCATAGTGGCATACTAAAACAGGGGAGTGCGCTGCTGCAGCAATGAAGCTGCCCATCATGAGTAGACCAATGTGATCACTACATCACCACGGGGTGACATGTAGACACATCCATAATTCAGAAGATCTTCACAGTGGTGGTACTGAACCTGCATTGTATATCCCAGAACTGGGGCTGCCCCAATCAGCTGAAAGTTGCCATTGGCTTGGGACAGGGCTACCCCCAAATGGATCCCCAGGGATCAGGCTAAAGAGATTTCTGGGTCCCAAAGGGGAACACAGAACTGCCCTGTGCCTGACCCTGATGCTCAGCTAAGCAATGGGATTGGAAACGGGGCAGCTCTGGGGTCTGGGACACAGTCACCCCTTATATAATCCCTGGAGATCTGGCTGGGACAGCCCTGGGTTGCAACAGTCACACAACTGGGATCTGAGGAATTTTATGACCCATCCTACACAGTGTGTGTCCTGCCATGCATGTCTGGCATGGATCATAAAATCCCTCAGATGCCAATTGTGCCATTATTTTAAAAACCAATAAAGATCTTAGTCAACACTAAATAGGTGGCTTTAATTTTTCTGTTACTATAACTACGTACATTAAAACACAAGATTACTTTATATATTAGACAAGAGTGATTTTGCAAGTTAAAAAGCTGTGCTCTATTTTACAGTTTTGTACAAAAATCACTTATTGGTGATCTATTCTTCCCAGGAAAATTCTATCCATCTTTTACTCTGCAAGGAAAAATTGAGGTTACATACGATGTTTTCTTGTTTCTTGGTATTTTTGGTAGGGGGGCAAGCTATTCTGATACATAAATCACCTTCTTGAAACAAAACAAAATTATTACTTTTAAAACAAACATTAATATTTGATGGCCCAGAACTCAGCTGGGATAAATCAAAGTGGTTCCACTTATACAACAGTATAATACAAGGAGAAGCAGGTACCCAGTGGAGTCTTGAAAATTCACACCACATGGAGATTTTGGTTGAAAAATATTAGATAAATATTTTCAGCATGACAATTCCATCTGATAGCAATTTTTTCTTTAATGAAATTCCAGCTTTCAGTTCAAAGGCATTCTACTTTCTAATCTATTACAGTAGAACCCTGATCATTTACATGCAGACAATTCACTTAATTCAGCAATCTGCTAAGTTTGAAGCAGGCTACCAAATTAAAAACTTGTCACTAACTGTTTGCCAAGGCTTTCACTTCGAAAGGTGCTGCTTCTCTGATCAGTTAAAGCTCATCAGTAGTTCTCTTCATGGCCTTTGAAATATAGGCTGCAGCAAACAACAGGAGCATCTTGGGACATTTGTATATGCATTCCCAATGCAGCACCAGGCACTTTTAATTAGCGTTTCGTGCTAATTAAAAGCACCCGTGTGCCACATGCATCAGTGACGCAGCACACCTCCGCGCTGGGAAATAGTCGTGCACTTTGAACTAAAGCACATCAAATGTGTTTTGTTTCAAAGAGCACCACCGCCATTTTCTCAGCCCAGAGGCACATTGCGCTGCTGATAGGCATGATGCGTGAGGCTGCCAGAGCCCGCATATTTGCATGCTCCAGCAGACTTGATTAATCAAGTCTGCTCTGACACACTGGATTTCCAGTGCATTGGAGAAGGCTCCCCACATGCGTGTAAGTGCCCCAAGAGGTTAAATTCACAAAACCTCATCTTTGTAGGAAAGTAAACATAAGCCTGCAAAGTGTCTGGGTTCTGTAATACTCAGATATTTCAGTACTTACTCAGGTATGTGTCTAAAGGAATACAGCTCTCCAAGTCATCCATTGGAGATAAGAGTTCACAAATGCTTTCAGCTGTGTGGCCTTCAGGAAATTTACTTTGATCTCCACATTTCTTGAGAATTTCCACACAATCTGATCTTCAGAAACAATAAATAATTACATATCACATGCATACTACTTGAGGCAAACATGAGAAAGTTATTTATTTTAAAAGAAACACATATTTCCCCTCAATTCTTTAGACAGGTAACCACACAGGCAACCATGTTTACAGTACAAATCTAGGTTTTACAGGAACTTAGTGCTGAAACATCAATTCTGAACATGGTTGTTTCACAAATGTACCATTAAAAAAACCCAAAAAAATAAAAGCAAGAATGTGGGACTCTGAGCTGTCATATCAGAAAAGAGGTTTTCCCCTTCACTGTTAGTGAGGCCCACCCTCAACTCCATTCCTATAGTCTAGAGGTGTCGCATAAAAGGATGAAAATAGGATGACTCAAGATAACAGCATTTTGATTGGGAATGGTACCGAATGATACCACCATATTCTTTGTACAGCAGGTATAAACTGTGCTCTCTCAAAGAAAATGAGCAAAACTAAAGAGCAATTAATACACGTAATATGAGAAAAACCAGGAAAAAGGAGTGAGAAATCTAAATGTAAAGGAATTTATTGTGAAGGAGAGAATGGATGGGGACAGGCAATGCTGAGGAAAGGAGAACAAGCAGCAGGAAAGAAAATCAAGGGGAAAAGAAGAGAAAAAAAAAAGAGTACCATATATTTCAGAGAAAAAAGATGAGCATCTAAAAATCACATGAACAAACGGAAAGAGAAAAAAAGAGAAGGTTAATTACTTTTTCTATATCTGATTGCAATTCCTGCTGCAAGAGTGAAAATGAAAAACAGAATACATATTTGATAAATTAAATTTAGGTATGAGGAACAATTTTTTTACCCTTTTCAAGCACTGCAGACATCAATAAAATTGTTAGCTCTTCAGATATAATGGAAAAATTAGGTCAAGAAAAGAGGGCCAGAATATTTTAGTTTACAGGAAACTTGAGTCAGATCTAGATATTATTCCAGCTGTATGAAGGACCTTGAACAAATTCCTCTACTCACTTTCCAGCTTTTTTCCTGTCTTGTCTATTTACATATATAAAGCAGGGTACACACCCTGAAAAAAGACTTTACAATAAGATTTCTCCATTTATGGGGAACTTGTACTAACTTCATTGTAAGAAACATCAAATGTGCAAGATCATATTTTTTGTGTGTTTGTATTTGTCTTACCAAAATCTTACAAAGTACTTTTTAGTTCACAACTAACCATAAACAATATCTATGAAAATGAAAATGATTTTTAAATGTACTTACTTGCAGATAATACTTCCTCTAGATTTGCTATGACAAGGTTTAATCTGCAGTGAGCAAGCAATTGCCTTCCACATTTCTGGCTGGCATTTTTTAATATCAAGAACAGGAATATTTATAAATGGCATCTTAATACTTCCTTTCTCCCAAAGCTTCATGTCATTCATAGCTCCTTGGTCTGACTGAGCATTGCAGCTTCTAAAAAGTTCTGTTGGTCTTAAAGAAATCAACGGATATGTAGCATGTTAATTTATATACCAAGAAGTTAAGATTTACTGTATGCAATATATGCTCTACAATTTTGATTTATATTACTAAAGATTCATGACAAAGACAAATCACACACAAGCCCTCCACAGGAAAAAGTTTTAAATGATTTGAAGAATCTCTCTTAAATGTAATAAAATAAGAGCATTAAGAGTAGAATTTTACTACCCTTTGTACATCTGAATGGTGGTTTTCCAGCCACTGAAGTGGGCTTTTTGGTATTTGCATATAGCTGGCATTTCTATTACCTACTATTACTAAGGCAATGTAGTAGAGGTGTGCAAAAGCGGGCCCTATTTGATTCAGATTCAGCCCAATCAGGGACAGCGATTCAATTAGTTGATTCGGATCACTGTCCCTGATTCAATTCGGCTGAATCAGAATCTGAAGATTGGATGCTGATTCAAAGAATCAGCGATTTGGAAACAGACACAGCTTTAAATGTTTTTTCTACATACCTCAAGGTACAAGGCCAGCTTGTGAACGCTGCGATGCTGGGGCAGATGGAGCGTCCCACAGGAGTGTGGGGGGGCCCTCCACATGCTCATCAGCAA